TATATATATATATATATACAACCAACATGAGGTAATGTTGAACAGTTTACTTGTTGTTTGGTATTTTGTTTTAATTTACCCATCCATTGCGAACACTGGCCTAATCTTTGTCCATGACAGTGCAACAACCAACCATGTATACACGTTCATAAATGAGTTACAGTTTATAGAGACCAATTAACCTAACAGTCCATTTGAGTGTTTTTAAAGATGTTTTATAAAAAAATTATTTTATCTTATTATGTGGGAAATTTTCTTTTACTCTAGAAAGTATATCAGTTCCATGTGGATCCTATGCATGTTTTTATATTTCATTTATGAAGCAAGGAAAAGTATGTATAGTTTAGGATAAATGAAGCAGCTGGAATAAAGCAAAAGGTTTATATTCAGCATTAGGAAAATCAACATGCTATTTTTACATTATTGTGTTTATAGCTTTAAGCTTACATCATCACTTAATTAGAATCTTGTTTTCACTTTGAAAACATGTCTTTTTTTATACCTCTACCACAAAATAGAAATAAAAAAGCAGCAGTCCTTTCCATTAAACTGTAAGTCTTGTAAAATATTTATTTGGTCAAACTCTGATTTAATAAAATGTCTTGACTTGACTCCAGTGCACAGCTTTGATATCATGTGGTGTGTTTGTCTGAGTGCGTGGGGGAGAAAGAGAGATTGATGATGATGATGATGTGTGACGTCAGCATGTCACCATCGCTGCCATCTGCTTCTTATAGTAAGCAAACAATGGCCAGCAGTTTGTGTTAATTTCACATCGGGGAAGCATGAAAGCAAACTTACTCAACACTCTTATCTCGGACTTCTTGTCCTCTCATGTTTGTGTACCATTTAAACAAAACGGATGCAGTTAGAGTTTTAAATAACTGCAATTTAAAATCAGAGGCTGGTGGACCAATAGTTTAGATTCTGTCACATCTACTTCTAAAAAGATACATTTGAAAAAAGGATTTTATATAATGCAACCTAGATTATGCAGGTCTGGAAGGCTACTTGCACACAGAAATCTGAATGCCCCCCTTCGTTTGATGTCGTTTGTGAGGCTGCTCAGGCCACATCCTGTCTTCTCCACCTTGGTCTTTCTGAATTTGGCCCTGGTCTGGTTCCTGACCTGCTTGTTCGGGGTCCTCATGGGGTCTCCTCTGCTTGGTGCTTGTTGCTCTTCTTGTTTGCATTCCTTGGCCTCTTTAGTTTGGGGGCTGCTGCTCCTTTGCTGAAGACTAACCTCTATGAGGGGCAACGGGTGCTGTGTGTTGCAGGCCTTCGTTTCCTACTACGGTATACATAAATATATGGTAAAAAGAAAATAAAACAACAGAATATTAAAATGCTGTAGCATCCTTTGGTTTTCTATTGGAAAATAATTGAATAACTTTTGAAGGAAAGCATTAATAACATTTAAACATAGTCCGTTTTACAAATTATCATCCATCGTATTAGTACTAGAATAGTGGGGGGGGGGTGTGGCCCAGTGGTTAGAGCAGTGCGCTTGTGCTATGAGAAGGTTGCAATTAGCCGGTTCGATTACTACAGCCTGGACTATGGGTTCCTGAGCAAAACACTTAACCCCACACTGCTCCCCAGGCGTCACTCAATGGCCGACCACTGCTCCCCAAGGATGGGTTAAATGCAGAGGTAAATTTCTCCAATTTGAGATCAATAAAGTTAAATTATTATTATTATTATTCCACAGCAGGTTAGAAAATCTTAGACATCCAATGTCATCAGCTATTAACCAAATCACTCGCTTAAAGATTAAAGATAAGTTTGGACTGCAGTTCTTACTCACCCTCCTAATTTTGCCAGAAACCCTTTAAACTCAATATAACATAGTGAGGGGGGGGGCTTACAAAACTTCCAAAAATATTTCTTGCATACATACTTGTGTCCAAACTAATTTAAGTGAAAACACAATCAGCTCAAAGTCTCTTGTCACACACCTTCACTGACCACTATTAGTACCTCAGCAGAAGATGTTTGTGTGTTTAGACACTAATGATACTAAACTTGTCACCAGCAATGATTGACCATCTGTGTGTGTGTGTGTCAGCATGGACTCTGGTCGGCATGAGCATCTGCTCTACTCCAGTGCCCTGCCATACAGTACACTCCATTATTCCTTGGCAAAATGTGTGTGTGTGTTGGTGCTGCAGGTGCATTAGGGTAATGTGTTTAATCATCAATTCAGCTAAGGAACTGCCCTCTCCAGCCGTACATCTAACAGCCTGTGGAAGGGTTTGCATTAACACAGAGTTCAGTTTGTGGCTCAGCCAAGAGGGGGGGATTTACTGGACGACTTTAAAGGTTAAAGGTTTAAAGGGTGCCTGTAACTTTGGGAATCTGAGACTTTATTTCTACATTAATGACATTTGAACAAAAATAGCATCAAAGAAAAGTTTTTGGGGTTTTTTTTTGTACCTGCTGAGACGACTTGAGGATGCCGAATTCAACCATCAACTTCTACACCCGGTCGCAGTCCTTTAGCTTCTCTGATATTATTGTCATTGCAACTTATTTTCTCCTGAACCTAGCTGTGGGTATATGGGTAAGAGTCAAAGCTAACGACACATGTATGCTTTCTTAGATTCACAGCCTGTGCTCAAACAGCTCTGTTTTCTGTCAGTCATCATGCAGGGTGAGCAGGAACACTCTGAGTGGATATTTCTTGGCTGGAAGGGACATGGCCTGGTGGCCGGTAAGAGTCCTTCTCTAGGATTACTTTTGATTATTTCAACAAAAACTATTCTTCATTTTCAGTTAAATAAGAAAAACTCATGCATTTTTATACAACCTTGGCATTACATATGGATATTCCCATCGATAATTCTTGTTTTATCATCTTGATTAGAAAAAGTGCTAGGATTTTATTTTGTTTTACAATACAAGAGGTAGAAAGATTGAGTTACTATGAAACTGTTAAATGTTTAAAAAAAAATCATGGCATAAAATTGGGGAATCATGTAGAAGTATGGATATTAAATCCTGCAGTTTTTATAGGTTTGGATGAAATGAAATGAAATTAAGACTTTCCAAAGCAAAAGAAAAAAAATCTCAATACTCATGGAAACTCGGAAATTGATATCCCAAAGAGAAAACAAATAAATCTATTATTGTTCCTACTTAAAAATGATTAAACACGTCTGTCTACAATTAACCTAAAATGTGCGTGTGTTATTGTTTATATGACTTTTAGTTTTGTTCTAATATTTCAATCCACCATCAACCCATAAGGACAAACTCATCTTCCAGCATTTTACAACTGGACCAGTTTCTGTACCGTAGGAAACCAAACTGCTCTTAGATTAATTCAAATCAATGAGTTAATTTAATATTTTCCACTCATAGGGCAAATGCAGACAGAAATACAGTACTGTGATAAAGAATTTGTCCCTTTGGAGATTTCTTCAGTTTTTGCTCATTTAACCTTTTCAGACCATTCAATGTGAAGTTACAGACTGTACATTTAAGAAACCCTAAAAGGTCACTACTCCCTGAACAAATTAAATGGTTGTGGCAGTATTGGTGGCAATGAGTCTTTTAGCTTCTGGAGAGGAATTCTGTCCCAATCTTTTATCCAGCAAATGTGTTTTAAACATGATGGCTCTTACTTTGACTAGGCCACTCCAGAACCATTACTTTTTTTTAACTACTCTGAGGGGGACTTGATGATGAGGTTTAAATTATTGATGCTCTGTCTAACCTGATTGTAAGGTCTCAAATTAATTACCTTATTTGGCTTAAAAGCAGAATTCAAGGTTCCAGCAGTTGTTATGAGTCATTTAGGCCCTGAAGCAGCGAAGCATTCTAAACCACCAACATTTTAACTTTTGTTCCACCCTAGAAATAATTTTTTCCCAGTCTCTCTTTCTTATTGTGAAATCATAAACACTATTCAAAAGCACGTTAACATAGAATTTTTTCCGGAAGTATCTCCAAATGTGAAGTTAAAGAAGCTAATTTACGCCATGGTTTTATAATGTGCTGTAAGTTGTAAAGCTTTTCTGTCAAGTGTTTTTATTTTTCTCACAGCTTTTTAAGATAAAGCTAGAGCCAGACCCTGTTTGGATTATTACTGGACTTGCGGAAAAGTCTAAAAAAACTCAAAAGCTCACAAGCCTGTCTCATGTCATATGGTCTGGTGTCTGCTAAGAGACTGATTCTCCTATTATGGAAAGAGAACAAAGTCCCCTAATTAAAGTCCTGGATATCAGTCATGATATATACTTCCTTTTATACCTTAAAACCATGGATCAGCAAGCCAATCTGACTGACAGATAGCATTGCAGGGTATGTGGGAAGGGGTAGGAGGAAGTTTTTATTATTATTTTTTATTATTGTTTTTCTTATTTGTTGCTTTTGTCTTTGAGGTTTCGTTAGTCATGTTATTTGTTTGTGCCACATGGTCTTTGCCTGTCTACTGTGAGATATCTCTATTTGTATTTTGCCTCTTGTTTCTTATTTTTGTAAAATTAAGCATGTACTGTAGTAGCTAAGCAATGATGATTAACCTGTAAAAGTATCTGCTTCAAAATAAAAAAAGATATCATACCAAAGGTAAGTGCTTTAAATGTTGTTCTGTATATTTTTTGTGGATGATGGCTCTCATTGTGGTTCTCTGGAGTAACATTTCTTTATTACCACTTTCAAACTTTATTGGGGCAATGTATGTCTTTTTTTTTTTTTTAAAGCACATATCACCTCAGTATTGTAGTAATCAGTACAATGAATCCTATAAAGCAGTTACTTATCCTGGACAAGCATGAAGAGTTGGTGAAAGGAAAAAAAAATCATGTTAACCTCCTGCATAACAGGGTCGATACCATCAGCTATCTGCTTTGGCCAGCATCTGGTTCTGATTCTGTTGTAGAAAATCCATGCACATGTTTAATAAGGTACAACAGAAAAAAACTGCAAAGCTGATACTTTCCAATTAAAATATCTGTGAAGATTCTCAGTCATCCTGGTGATGCACCTGCTCTCCCATTGAGGCACACGGCAACCCAAATTACTGTACGCCACATCTTACTGGAAAATATGCTGAGGGACAAGATGTATTCATATTTTTATTTCTTGATAAAAAAAAATGAATCAGACAAGATTGAATTAGTTCAGTCTAGGCAAGCGGACGTGAAGTTTTCAAGAAAATGTTTAGTCTCTCATCGCCTTTTTCTCTTTTAACTAACGACCCATCAGAACCCCCTAATGACCATTAACACCCCCCATATGACCTCCTTGGCCTTGTTAGACCTGCAGCATATTAATATCAGTGCTCCCCTCCACTAGTTAGAACTGAAGAAGGCTCTTGGTTGAGAGGCCAGTTGCCTTAACTAACTTTTTAAAGCTTGTCCAATTGGAATGTTTGTTTTTTAATCAAGAACTAAAAACATGAATACATATTGTCCCTCAGCATATTTTCCAGTTAGAAATCGTGAGAGGAAGTGCATCACACAGAGGCCACATTGTTCAAAGGCCACTACCAACTTTCTGACAGAATATTGCAGAATTTGGTTAAGAAGGAACATCAACCTTTCCACCAACAAAAACTCGTCTTAATCAGGTCAACAATCCCCTTCTGTTAAACCGCATTCTGCACATCTTATAAACAGCTTTAAAGTGTGAGCAACAAACTAGGTAGACTGCTGCATACTTTTCAGTGACATCAAATGATAGAGACAAAGGAAGCTTTTAACAGCTTTTACCTCTAGGTGCCAAAGATGTTTGGACATAAATTATTTCTTTAGTTGCACGACAAAATACAACAATTCACAAAAGAACCAGGAAGTGAGTGGAATGTGCAAATAAGAAAAGCCTCATAGGGCTCATAATAAATCTCACCACAGCTTAAACTTATACTTGAAGTGACACATTAAAAGTGAAATATAAATAAATAAATAATGATGATTACTGTATTAATAACAGGAGACACAAAAGTAACAAGAGAGATTCAGCAAAAATAATAAAACACAAAATAGATACAATTTTGATGTTATATTTAATTCAATTGTTTGAGCTCTCTATAGAGGATAGAGATTTGAAAAAGTTTAATATTATAATAAGGAATAGGGAGTTGACGTGTGTCTTGTTGTAGGATTGTGTAAAGAACAAAAACTCGACACTTGGTTGATAATTTTATATACCAATATACCAATATTTAACTTGCATAATAGTGTATTTGTGTGTCTTTTAGGATTTTACAAAATCAGTTTTTGTTTTAGATTTTTTTCTACATATGTTTTATTTACTGATCACCTTTCTTTGCACATATGGACTCAGGCAAAATTTTGTATACAAATTTATCTTTTTTCTAATGTTGCTAATTTCAAAATGAAGACAAGCAAAGGAGGCTGAATATTTGTGTTGTGTGCAGATTGGCTCGTCTCTTTTTGCCAGCTCAGAGGGCTCGGGTCTGTTCATCGGCCTGGCGGGGACTGGGGCCGCTGGTGGCATTGCTGTCGCCGGGTTTGAATGGAACGTGAGTAAGAATCCCAGCATCCTAATTATTGATCTGTTCATTGTAACAACACACTTCACACTCTGGAATGAAACACATCCAGCCTGCAGATCTACATGCATTTTGAGATTTAAGCAAAAAAGAAAAAAAGAAAAACATGGGGTAAGAAAACTGATCTCTTTGTGTCTGTTAACAAAAGCTGTGAATTTGCAGCTTATGAATCCTTTGTCTTAGTTAATGAAATCACCTGCAGGTTTGGTATGACATGCAACATGCAGCAGGTGGCAGCACCGCAGCCATTGGACCCAGCCCAGCCTAGCAGACATGAGATCTTTATCTTATGCATAAGCGTTTCTAACTGTCTGACCTCTGTCTGATTTTTCATTTTGACTGCTTTGGAGAATCTGAATGTCTTTTCTTTTCTTATCTGTTGTCCAAACAATCTCAGGCAACCTATGCGCTGCTGGCGCTCGCTTGGATCTTTGTGCCTGTCTACATCTCCTCAGGGGTCAGTTTACACACACATACATTCTCATAAAGGTATATATGGGTGTGTGCCTTCTTGTCAAGGCTGGTTCTGCAGGTAGATTTAGGTGCCAAAAGACTTTTCTCAAACAAGGACTCCCCGCCTCATAAATTCTTTAACAGGGTGTTACACTCACAGCTACAATTAAAAAAAAAAAGGCCAAAGGTTACCCTACACCCCCTTGTTGAACGATCACTTAATGAGATGTGAACTCATTATGTTTATTCAAAGGCAGTAATCAAAAGCACATCATACTGTTATCTGGAAAATGCAAAAGCATTTTAATGTTTTTTTTAAATTTTCATATATTAATACATTTTATTGGTTTTGTGTGGACCAAGCCTACAATGTAGGCACAACCACACAATGAAGTTCCACAGTGTTGTGCTAAATTGCGTTGATTTGGATATAGACTTTGACTAGACAATCTTAAGCCTTGAATGAGCTTTGATTCAGCCCATTGTAGCTCTGGGTGTCATAAAACTGGACAGATGGACCCAGTATTCAGGTGAGACAGACAGTGGGAAGTTTCAAAACGTATAATGACAAAAATAAACAGAAAGAGAACAGACATGGAATGTGGACTGCTGTGGATCAGCGGACCTGCAGCGGCTGCGGGGGAATCTCCCATCACTGGCGCTCTGGTTGTGGGAGAAACACAGGTAAGTGAGGAACATACCTGGTTTAACAGATCAGTCCATCCTCTCGGGTGAGGCAGGATCAGCTGATGGACTGCCAACGAGATGAGGCGCTGAGCTGTACAGAGATGCAGCAACCCCAGTGAGCAGACAGGAGACAGATCCAGGTCAGGGAAACAGTTCAGCACAGGAGCTTTCTGAGATCCAGGACTCTGTAGCCCGGTCAGGGGTTATGATCAGAACAGGAAAAGACAAATCCAGGGTTCCAGGAATCCATAGAGCACCCAGGCAGGTTCAGAGTCCAGCAGCAAACTCAGACAGACATGCTCAGATGGAGACAGACAGGCCCAGCGGTTGAGAGGAACAGAGACAAGACATGTTACCAGGAGAACTGCAAAACTTTAAACTGTACTCCACCTAGGAGCCAAGATTATGGGAATTAAATCTCTTCCTGCACCATGAACCAAAACAGAGAGGGCTCTGCACAGAAGAGCCGGGGCATGATCAGTAGACAGGAGAAAAACAGTAAACCATCTCAATCCACCGACCTCCAGGGACGGGAACATGATCCATGGAAACAACTCCAAATAACGGCAAAAAAAAAAAAAACATGGAACAAACACGAAATAATGATCTGGCCCCAATAGCTGGGCTGAGCCGTATATAAATCAGCAGGAGCTGGTGGATAAGATCATGGATAATTAGAGAGCAGGGAGGGTACGGCAGCTGAATGAAGTGAGTAATTAGATCAGCTACCAGGGCTGCGAGCTTGTCACTGGGTCCATGTTTAGGGACATTGTCCTGCTAGAAGATGAATTTCTGGCCCTGTCTCAATTTCTTTTGTTGCCTCCAACAGGTTTTCTTTCACGTCTGCAGAACATTTAACACTGTCCATCTTTTCATCAACTCTCAGGGGCATTTTGTATTAACTTTGAACATATATCAGTTGATTTTTTTTCTTCTTTTTTTTGCAACATCGAACAGTAAATCTGGATTGGGAGGATCAACTCCCAATCAACTCCAATCAAATGATTGTGAACTTTGGTTTAATTTGCTTTGATCTAAACTATTTAACTGTAACTAAGGCATTTGTCCTACAGAAAGACTGTCAAGGATTGGCCTGTATTTAGGTACATTAAGCTACTTGGGCAAACCTTCCTGTCCATGCTGGAATTGAAACATAACCCCTGTTTTCACATGGGGATAATACCATAAATTTAGGGTTATCTACACTTTTAGTTTTCCACCATTAAAAGGTTCAGCTTCATCTGACATGAGCGGCTTCCTCTGAAAGATTGAGTTGTCCTCTTCATGGGTTGTCACAAACTGCAAAGAGGACGACTCTGTGGTTACACAACTAACAGTTTTCCTGTCAACAGCCCCTCCAGAGTCAGCACGGGCCTCTTGGCTGTTCCCCTGCTATTTAATGCCCTACTTGATAAACCTGTCTGTTCAGGTGGACGACCATGTCTTGTTAGGTTTTTACTTCAAGATGAAGGACAGAATTTTACTCTTTAAGATGTAAAATTGTCAATATCTTTGTATACCCTAAACATTGTTCAAAACAGCTTTATCCCTGTGTGGAAATTGTCTTCCTAAACATCACTGTTTTATATTGTAAATGTCATTCCGTAAAAGTTTTTTGAATTGAAAAAGCTTCCTGGAAGAGAACGTCTTCAAACTTTGGATACCAAGTCCAGTGGATTGTTTTTTTAAACTTTTACGGAATGACTATGACGTGGATGACTGAGAATCTTCATCAGCATATTGTAAATGTCATGGCAGATATCTCAGAAATTGTAAAATGTCATGCTTAGAAGTTAAATAGAGGGTATAATTTCACATTGTTAAAAATTATACTTATTGCTGTTGCATGGTTGTAATTGCTTTGTTTAAAAAAATCAATGAAATGTAAGTTCTAAAAAAAATGTAAACAGGTTTGATGTAATGGAAATGTAAAAATGCCCTTTTTATATATATATATATATTATATATATTTTTTAGATTGTCACAATGCCGGAGTATCTGGGGCGCCGTTTTGGAGGAGAGAGGATCCGAACTTACCTGGCTGTACTCTCACTCCTGCTGTCGATCTTCACTAAAATATCGGTACAACACAGAGACAAGCTGTATGCCAAAAAAAAAAAAAAAAAGCAATTCAAGTTTTTCTGCCTGTTTCAAACATGCCTTTTGTTTGTTCTGCCAGACTGACTTGTATTCTGGAGCCCTGTTTGTCCAGGTCTGCCTGGGCTGGAACCTCTACCTGTCCACTGTCCTCATGCTGGTGGTCACTGCGCTCTACACCATTGCAGGTAGACACAGGCACACAAAAAATAAAACTGCATCTATTGCAATTTGATAAATGCTTTTTATGCTTTAGAGCCACAATATCATCAGCATCAGTTAGCTGTTCTTCCTCAAATTATTTAATTAGCAAATTCATATCCATTTGTCATCAACAGAGCTGTTATATTTCAGAACTTTTGTCAGTAATGGTTTTAAACTAAGTGAGTTTAAAAACAATCTGATAAAAAACATGTGAGTGATGGTTAAAATGTTCCTTGTTTTCCTTTCACCAGGTGGACTGGCTGCTGTCATCTACACAGACACTTTACAGACGTTTATTATGATCATCGGTGCAATCATCCTGACAATTACTGGTACGTTTAAATTCTAAGACAAACAACAACTTAGATATACAAAGCACCTATCTTCTTTGTCCAAAATGTAAACATTCTGGTCCTCAAAACAATGTCCTTTGTCCATAAGGTGTAGATGTACCACAGAGTCTTGTCCTGAGGAGGACGCTCTTCTGTGTTGGGCCATGCGTCTGTGGAGAGGGTTGTTTGGTTTCTTTTTCACTTAGATTTTGCTTTCAAGTAGATTGATGTTACAGGGATGTTTTGAAGTGGACTCATTGGATATTTATTGAGGTTATAAGGATCTTTTAAGGTTTTTCTTTAGACAAACTGCTTTTTTATTCATTTTCACTCCAGTGACTGAACATGAATGAACATGCATCACTGAGGTCCATGAGACACTGCTGCTGCCTGAGGTGTTTATAGAGTCCAACAGACAATCTGCTGCTAGTGGATTTTTTTCAAGGTTTTGTGACTCGAGTGCTTATTTGAAGTATTTAAACAGGAAATGGAAAGATGGAGGGCAGAAAAACAACAAAGGTCAGATATCTAGAATTGAACCAGGGACAGCAATATCAAGAACTATGAATAGGGTAGCTGCTGGGAATTAAAAAAAGTTAAAGAACAATCCATTGCACTTTGTTTCCAAGTTTGAATTTGTTTCGCTTCCCATCCAGAAAACTTTTTCAATTCAAAATGTCAGAAATAGCGGGGAGTTTGATGCTTTATAAACGTAGAGTGGACTAAGAACAAAGGATTGTTTTGGCTTGGAAAACATGCAAATTGAACCGGATGAACCGGTCTTAGGAATGGGCAGTCGTTTGGGTTCTTTGTTAGCCTGCAATATCTGATACCTGTCTATCTCTCTGAAAGAGGGGTTGTTAAAGGGAATTTTTGGACTGGCTGCACAGGCGAGGTGTTCTGTTCCCCTGTAAGGGGGTGGGGGTTGCGATCATAGCAGGAAGGAGTCAACCCAGTCGCTGAATTGTAGCTTTTTGAAAGCTAAGATCTGAGTCCACCACCTCCTTTCTTAACATAGATGGCCTACTTCAAACTCCTCTCAAACCACCTATCTTCTTTGTCCAAAATGTGAACATTCTGGTCCTCAAAAGAATTTCCTTTGTCCATAAGGTGTAGATGTACCGCAGAATATTCTCCCGAGGATGTCGCTCTTCTGTGTTGGACCATGCATCTGTGGAGAGGTTGTTTGGTGTCTCTAATATAAAGATCAGAGCATTCCTCACATCTTCTACATCTACAACACTTGCCCCACTTGCCAGGGGCTTTCTATAGTGAAACCAGCAAGATCCCATAGAGCGTTCTCTACTGCCTGTGACTTATAGTGCATCAATGAGAACCTATTAAGATGTCATTAGTGACACTGGATTCCTCTGCAGCACCACTGATGTCTCTACAAGATCTTCTAGCAACAAACAATGCAAATTATGTAGGAAATTTAAAAGGTTACTTAAAGTTGTGGGGTACTCCAGCAGATCATAGTCAGGGGCCCTTTACTAGGGGCCATCCAGTCTCTATACAAGCGGAGCAGTAGATCGAACTGCATTGAATCAGACCTGTTCCTGGTTCCCGTTGGACTCCTGCAGGGCTGCGCTCTATCACCTGTACAGGAGTTATTAGACGCAGCTAAGGGCTAGAGGAGTTTTTAGGTTCCCTGTGTCTCCTTTTTTGCGGGTGGTTCTGCTGGCTCACTACAACATGGACTGGAGCGGTATACAGTCAAGTGGAAAGCAGCAGGGATGAAGATCAGCTCCTCCAAGTCTAAGGCCATAGTTCTCAAGTAGAAAAAGGTGACATGCCCTCTTCAAGTAGCTTGGTGTGCTGTTCAAGAGTGAGGTGAGATTTGACTGGGACCTGTGCAGCTGCTGCTGAAATACAGAGGCTGCACTAGAACTGTTGTGGTGAAGAGAGAACTGAGTCCGACCCAAAAGGCGAAGCTCTCAATTTAACAGTAGGTTTGAATTCTTTCCCCACCTATGGTCACGAAACCTGGATCATGACAGCAAGAAGAAGACCCTGGATACAAGTTTTTGAGATGAGCTTTCTCCGCAGGGTGGCTGGGCAATCCCTTAGAGCGAAGGTCTTAAACAGGTCCGCGACCTCTAGGGGGTCCACGGAGGTACTGCCTGGGGGTCAGAAATACTTTAATAAACGCAGGGTGAAATTACTTTTCCTTTACATTGCTGAGTTGGTTCAGACATCTCTTTCAATTAAACCCTTTTTCTGGGCTCGTCCCACTGAGGAGAAGGCCAGGGGACCCTTTCTCTGTCTCTCTGCTGGTTATAGAAGGGCTTTCTCCAGAGGAGCTGGAGGAGATGTGTGGGCAGGGAAGGTCCTGGCGTCTGCCAGCTATACTTCAGGAAATCGCAAATATGGATAACCGCACTGTTTGATCGACAGAAACTGGAATAAAGGACCAACAATAGGATTGCTAAATGATTATTAACTAAAAACTTGCCATACAGCAGATGAACAACTCAAGGTAGAGGACCGCTTTAGGTTTACTAGATTCATAACATGGTCAGATACAAGGACTGAACTGAAACAGGGTAGAAAAATAGATTGCTTTATATCAGCTTTATCCATTGCATAGAATATAATACATTTGTCAAACTCAAGGCCTGTGGCTCAATTTAGGCCTGTCACTATAGTTTATCTGGCCTTAAGAGCCAGATAAATAGCAGATCACTTTATGAAGGAGAGGGATTTGTTCTTTAGTGTAAAAATGGGCTGAACCTGCAAAATAAAACAGATAATAAAACATAATGCCTGAGCTGTGAGCTCTTTAAAATGAATAGTAAAATCAAAACCTTCATTTACACAGCCCAACCAGTCCTTTTTAGAGTATGATGATGCTGTAATGGTCCGAGATTAAAAAAAAGATTGACACCCCTGTAAGTTTAAGTCTTAAATAAAAAAAACAACAACCTGTGTCTGTGTGTGTGCAGCTTTCAACAAGATCGGTGGCTACAGCAACCTGGAGCAGGTTTACAGCATAGCGATACCCAGTAAAATTATCCCTAACAGTACCTGCCACCTGCCACGTGCTGATGCCATGCACCTGTTCAGAGACGCCGTCACCGGAGACCTGCCCTGGCCTGGCATGACTCTGGGGCTCACCATAATTGCCACCTGGTATTGGTGCACAGATCAGGTATGTTGCAAATACCCAGCCTGGATATGAGCTCTTTATTTAACAAATAATTTGTGCATATCAATCATACAAAGAAAACTAAAGTATAGACTTTTTCCCCCCAGAATTCTCCAATGTTTAAAGTGCTACTAAATAAGCACATCTTATTTTTTCAGATCCAAAAGGCATTTTTTGGGAATATATTTTATGCTAAATTGAGATTTTACTCAATTTCTACTTCTAATCTTGCAACAGCAAATGAGATAAAGTTCAGGCTTAACTATTTTAAAGAAATCTGAGCTTTTTGTGAAGGCATTCTTTTCCTCAGGGGGCTTTGGTGGAGCCGCAGAGGTCATCAAGTTGAAAAGCTTAAAAAAAGGCAGTTATTCTTCATCATGCAAAAAAAAAAAAGGTTTTAGTGCACTATCCGCTTTAAGGTAGGAATGTTAAGTGGAGGGCTGCATGGTGGCTCAGTAGGTAGCACTGTTGCCTTGCAGCAAGAAGGTTAATTAGTAATGGGTTCATTAGAGATGCCAATTAGCCTCGTTCAATTCTGGGAATTGAGATCTCCAATCAGCCTGTTTAATAGGCATCTAAGTTGTCCTTAGATGTGAGTGTGTGCGTAAATGTGTGTATGTCTTTGTGTGCCTCTGTGTTGCCCTGAGACAGACTGGTGAGCTGTCCAGGGTGTACTCCACCTCTCGCCCATTGACTTCCGGAGATAGGCACGGCCCCATTGCCCCAAAGCAGGAGAAGGTTGATGGATAGATGTTTAGTGGCTGTTATCTGAAAAATGCAAGTATCTCCTAATTATCCTTTCAAAACGTGAAGACATGGACCTGCAGATCTGCTATCCAATATGTCCAAGAGACAACCCTAAGAACAAACTAATCACCAGCTTTTCTGGGCCCAAAGTACCAAAACCAATTAAACTCTTTTCAAATTATGCCATTTAGAAGTACAGCCTTATATATATCACATTGGGCTTTTCTATCATACATGAACACAAAGAAAAGCATCAGGTTCGTATTTGGTTTTCAAATGTTTCATAAATGAAAGTCTATGTATGAGCATTTTAAATCACTTTATTCTAATACCTCAAAATAAAACCCATAAATACAGCTGCTCTGTGAAGGCATCAGAGGCTTGTCAGGGAATCTGAGAGAGCAAATAGCAGCAGTGGTTAAGTTTAGATTATAAAACAATATTTGAGGCCCTAAAAACATCACTGATATGCAGTCGGTCCAATGATTGCAAATGAAAATGATGTGTTGCAGATATCTAGGTATGGCTTCGAAGGAGCGTTTTAACCAGAGATTATTAGGGGCAATAGGGCCATTACTTGAGGGAAAAAAACAAAAGTATAATAACCTGTTAAGATAAGCCAAGTGATTAAAGGTTATATTTACAGTTTGCTTAAGTCATATAGAGAAAAGAGTGAATGTAGAAGCAGGTACTTCAGTTGGATGAGATTGCAAACGAAACTTTCTGGCTACAAAATGTTGTGCAGCAGAGAGCTAACCTCACATATCACCCTGAAAGCACCATGCTATCCGTCTAAGCATGTTAATGGCAGCATCATGCTGTTGGAATATTTTTGTAGCTCTATGTACATAGGTAAGACAAGTGTAAACTTCAGATTTTCTTTTCCAGGGCAGTTTAAAAAATGTTTTTTTTTTTTGCATGTATTGTTTTCCTTCCAGTTAAATTCGCCTGTATCGCTGTAAATACAACTTAAGTTCATGGATGTAACACATCCGATATATGTGGGTCATTTCTAACTAGAGATCCTTACCCAACCATTAAACTGGATTATCCCCACATTAGTATGCCCTCATTGTCAGTTTGATGAAGCTTCCCAAAACATTTTATTTCATTTCAGCAGGTTTCCAACTGGAGGAGTCAAAAACAGAGTTATCTTTGCAACAGTCTGTCTTTTAATTCAAAACATTCATTTTCGGTCCCATGACAGTACACTGGATATGTCTACATTTGCACAGGTTATAAACAACCTTTGTCAAATATGTAAAAGTAATCATGTCATCTTGTGCATAGGTGGAACTAATCACAGCGCTATCAGTGCTGATGCCTGATCTGTTTCTATAAGTAGACACAATCTTACATAACTCAGACACTTCATCTGTGTTTGTTGGACGTGAACAAACATTACCGTTTAAGGAAAAAGAAAAGCATCTGAGGTAATTCTAGGCTCAACATGCTGTATGAGTGCCTGGCTTAGCAGACAAGTATATCAGAACATACTGAACAAAGTACCACATGAAGGAAATAGTCCATCTTTTTCTTTAACCAAACAAAGGATCCATGGCACATGTGCACGTCTGTAAACACAAATAACTGCTATATTACTGTCAGAGCTCCTTTCCCACAGACGAAACGTCTGCTTATCACAGCAGTTCTCCTAGTTATGTTGAACTGCAGGCTTTAAATCGAAAACAGTCCAAACTGAATTGCTTCCAGTTTCTAACCAGGACCTCATGTACCTGTTCTTACCAATGGTTCTACCTAGCAGCATTATTACTATGAGATGCTTTTTTCTGAGAGGTTCCTGCTCGTCCTTTCAAACTTTTAAAGCTGTTGAGTTTTGACAGAGACACTCCGAGCAATCCCTTTGGGTCAGCTGTTGGCTGGGGTGATATCTTCCTGTAGCCAGGACTGTGTCTCCGTGGTGATCGCCCAGAGCGGGCTTCCACGCGCTGCTGTGTGGGGTCGGGCGGCACCAGTTGCCCCTGCCAGTAACGGTGTCCTCCGATCACGAGAGCAGCAGTTCTTGAAGGGCGGTGATAACTTCCCGGTTTTGCAATTATAACTTTGGGACCCTTCCATCTTGCATCTCGAGCTGGAGACCTTGAGTCCGCCCAAAGCTGTAAGGAGAGAAGCAACAGAGAGATGAGTAATGGAGTACCACAAGGGGCGATTCTTGGTCCCTCATAATTCAGTTTCCATTATTTCAACCTTTCATAAGCGGTTTGTCAGTTTTGGTTTCTTACCAGAGTTCTTACCAGAGTTATTTTATATTAAAATAGATAGATAGATAGATAGATAGATAGATAGATGTACTTTATTTATCCCAAGCTGGGAAATTGCAGCTTGGGATAGGTTATTGAGCAAAAGAATGCCATATTTTCTGGACTATAGAGCACACCTCACTATAAGCCACGTCCAATTTATTTATTTTTTTTACTGGAAATGTACATACATAAGCCACAGCGGGCTATAATATATGCACCGCTGATATCTACTGAAATTTCTCCCACCAAACCTGTAGGGGGAGCTCTACATATCGTCCCTGTAGTAGGGACAAAGAAAAACGCTAGCTCGCGTTAGCTTGTTGACTCACAACGGTAAGAGCTTCTACTGAAAGATGGGGCTTTATCAGCTCTGCAGGATTTGAGCTCAGTCTCTTCATTGGTTCATCAGCTTTAAAAGAAAAGTCCGGTCAGCAAGTAATAACCAATGGATCATTATCTATACCTAAAACTAATATGTTTGCTGTGATTTAATTAATTTACCATTAATCAGTAAAAAAATAGAAAATAATAATTTTCGTTGCAATCACTGAGTCCTGGACCGGCCATTTTTGCCCAAATATTGTGACACCTCACTACTGAAATCTTCTGGCAGTTAGGTCGAGGTGCGGAAACCCTAGCGTCATTCTCCCCGCTTTACAAGCAAAGTCAATGAAAATTACTAGACACATCTGCAATCAGCTACAATTATTTAAGGTTTCAAAAGGACTTCATCACTGAAATACATGAGAGCTATAGTTAAACAGACAATGCCCACTTGCATGGCAGTTGGATGTTGCAATACATAGGTAAAAGTGAAAAAATATTATTTATTTCCCCTTTCCGATTCATGATCCTCCACTGGTTCATCGTTGGATTGCCAACTTGAAGAGGGAGGATTTGCCATCAAACTTCTGGCCAGAGAAAAAACACGTCATTCATCCGTTACTCTCTGCTCCACATAGTGCACTGGTCATGGCCAATATGGATAATAGGGCGTTGTGACAAACACCAGATACAGCACCGGGACTTCCTCAACAGCCGATACCGCACCGTGACGTCACACACCGGTAGGCGGCAGTAGTGCTCTTTGACAAACATGGATGTCTCCGGTAAAGCACAGTCAAATGAAAATTATTCTTAATTAAAAACGCTTATCATTTATTGAAAAGTATGTAATAATTTCATCCTTAAAGTACTCTCAGAAGTTTGTATTCTGAATATGACCGGACTTTTCCTTTACTGCGGCAAATAAACATCAAAATGTGAGAATTCGGGACATTTGTTCTCTGCTGTGCTTGCTGCTAGCATGTTCTTTTGCAAATGAAAATAAACCCCTAATTCTTCCATTTCCACCTTTGACTTCCTCTTCTGGAATCAACAGTAAAGTTGCACCTTCTAATAAACTGCATGGTTCAAAGCATGGCAAAAACACAGAGACTTATAGTCCAGAAAATATGGTAGATTAAAAAGTAAGAAGTCAAATAATTTCACTCTTAGAAGACATTTCAATTAGCTATAAATATTATTTAAACAAAACTATTAAGACATTTATATTTCTTTCAGCAAATCTCTTCTCACACACTTCTGTTTAAATGTTTGACATTTTAAAGACCACTTCACAATTGACACCATCCTCTCCAAAGATGTGTCAAAAACCTTTATCCTTTTATTTCTGGAGCTTAACCTCATAGTGAAAACAATACCACCTTAAATTTGAGCGCCTCATTATTCCTTTGAAAAATAGCGTTTTTCAAAGATATCTTTAACTTTTTTACACTTTAACAGTGTTGAACTTTTAATTAGTAACAAATTATTTGCTTCTCCCTTTTCCTCTTCAAACTGTGAACCACAAGAAAGTCTTAAAAACGTTTAGGACAGCTAAAAATGTAGAAATATGTTAAAATATATGTATTTTTCAAAAGCTCTTTTCTAATATACTTTAGCAAAAAAGGGTTAATTTGTTTAAGAAGTAAAATGTCTACATGTAACAAATCTAAAAAGGTTTAAGACCTAATTCTTCACAGAGGCCCAAAAATGTCTTACAGATGGTGAGATGACCCACAGTCACTTTTCAGAAAAATGCTTCAGTTAACGATCATTAATTTTAGTCTCATGTCGAAACTGTCTGCTCTTCAACTTTCCAAATCATTATCTAAGCCCTTCAGGACTGTTTTGTTTCACTGAGCCTGGAGTGAAATAAATGGAGTGAACTGGAAAATGTCTGTGACTCTTATCTGTTGTTTCTTTGTTGGCATATGAAGAGAACCACGCAGAAAATATTTAGAGACGAAATATGAATGTAATCTGAAGCTGATAAGAGTCCCTATAACTGTGAAACATAAGTGAAAGTACAAACAAACAGGAATAGGAAGCATGTCATATTTTATTCCTGATCTTGTCATCTTTATGCCAAACAGCACCTGACAAGCCTCAATAAACCATTAAATATGTTGTACCGGTAATAAAACTCTTTAACTACATAATAACTTTATTCCCTCACCTTAATCACTGTTAGATACTTAGTAATGTGTCATATTGACAAATACTGTGATTTCTTTTTAAAACAAAGATTTAGAATAATATTGAAAACGACCTCAAAAAACGAGAAAACACAAAAATGTTTAGTTGTAAAAGATACAAAACATTTTGCACAAAATTGATGGATTCTTAAAATAGTTAGTCCCCCTTAAAAACAGTATTTACACTTCCTGGAATAATGTCTGGATATAAAAAGGTATATTAATTTTTTCTACATTTCAAATAATAAGAGAACCGAAAACAGGAAATAGCTTTAAATTGGTCTGCCTACATCAGGCGTTTACCTGAAATGTTCACCATGCCAAGAAACAAACAACTGATCAGCGGAATGCTGATCTTGCTGCATGGAGTTTTCATGTTCTCCATGTGCATGTGTGGGTTCTCTACTGGTACTCCTAATTCTTCCTGTTAGGTTAATTGGCAACAGACTGGCGACCTATCCGAGGTGTACCACGCCTCTCGCCCATACACTGAGATAGGACTAAGCGGGAGAAAATGGATGGATTTTTATCATTTTCTTTGTTATGCTTTGAAATAAGTCTATTTTTACAATTCTTATTTCACCATTTATCCCATTTCATTTCTGTTTTGATGAATAATTTATGTTTAATTAGAAATTAGGGTTGTTTTAGTATCTAAAACTTCCTAATTTTCTCTAAAAGAAACTTTGTTTTTACCTTTTCTTCGAAAGGTAGGTCAACCTGTTTTTTGGGGAAGCACATATTTTCCCTTCACTTTCCTTTCATGGTGGCCATAGATTATTTCAGCCTCTATTTGTCCTCCTAATATTATTGTTTTGTTCTTGATTTATCTCTCCTGTACATACAGGTCATTGTACAACGGTCCTTGTCAGCTAAGAACATGAGTCACGTCAAAGGAGCTTCAATCTTTGCCGCCTATCTGAAGTTGCTGCCCTTCATCTTCATCATCCTTCCGGGCATGATTAGCCGAGCCCTCTATCCAGGTGCACGCCCACTCAAACAAAGACAACATCCACGCATTGATTTTAATTAAGAGAACAAAGGTAAAACACGCCGTGTCTTTGCAGGTAGAGACTTGTTTCGCTGCCACAGGTGAACTGGCAAACAGTTTTTTTTTTTAGATGAGTTTGTAAAACAGATGTATGTGTGTGTGTGTGTGTGTGTGCATGTCTGAAAAAGATTCTCAGCATTTCCTGTAAATCAATGCTGAAAAAAATACTTCTGGGAAGCTGAGGACTTTCCCAGTGATCAGTCCTGACAGATGCAGGATCATAATGACAGCAGGGATTTTTAATGCCATACAATCAAAAAACATTTTTAATATCATTCTTACGCAAAAGCTTCCTTCAGTATTTATTTCTCAGTTCAACACAGAGAAACTACACAGCTTTATGCAAACCTAACATCCTGGGAATCTTCCTTCTTTGGCTGAAGAGTTACTTAAAAATAAACAGTGATTTGCAAACATATGGATACTCATTCAATTGATGGAATAGATCGATATGACGCATTGTGTCATTTCTAAGTGGAAGAAGAAATCCTACATGGTTTTAAAGTGTTTTAAAATAAATGTCTAAAAAGGTTTGGGGTGCCTTTGTTTTGGTCAATATTCAGTAGAAGAATCATTCCCAGCAAAAGCTGTCCGTATCAACAGATTGAAATGTTGCCCTGTTCTGCCTAGCACCTGTGAACAGCAATTATTTCAGTCTTGCCTCAGATCCTTGATAAAAACCCGGTCTGGGGTCTGACTGAGCCATCGTGACGCTTTGATCCAAGTCTTTTCTTCCAGAATTGTTCTAGTTTTCCCTCCATTCATCTTCCCATCAGCTCTGGTAAGCTTCCCTTTCCTTACTGAAAAAAGGACCATGTGTTTAGCTCTATGTTCAGCGGTACGTTTCTGCCACTTAACGTATTTCTATAGTGGCATTAAAGTTCAGATTTTCCTTCTTCTGATCAAAAAACCTATTGAATGTTTGTCGTGTTTCCTGGATGGCCTTCAATCTGCAAACACATGGTGGCCCCTTGACTGCTGCTCTGCCTGATTCTTTCCTTACCAATCCTGTCTGTCTAGGTCAGAGGTCGATAACCTGAGGCCCCGGAGCCACACTGGTTAATTAGCTTTCTCAAAGTGGCTCCAAAAAGTGTCTTGGATTGTATAGATAATATATAGTAAGGCTGGTTTGAACAGTTGTTCTATTTCTGTTTAACATCAGCAAAAACGTTTTCCACCAGATTAATGCTAAAAGTTTATGAGAGTTTATACCAGGCAGCTTATAAACTCAGATAGCCTCATTTTCGAAGTTTAAACTTTTTTTCATACAACGTATACTTGTCAAACTAAGTCCTTTGTTGGTTTTGTGGCACCAGAAACTCTTATTTTGTTGAAGCAAGGGGAAAATAGATCTTATGAAGATCCTGAGTTGAGATCTTTCACATAAAAGATCAACAAAAGGCATCCTGTTGTAAAGTGGGAAAAAACTAGACAATTTCAAGGGGTGTTAGGACATTTTTGGAGGCGGTGGATAAATAAGTTCTAATGAAGCAGGTTGGCTGGACTTGTAATTCCAGAACTTAAAACAACAAAACCATTGTTCATAAAGTGATGGAAGCTGGCTTAGTTCTTTTATCACTTCTTACAGGTTAGCAAGTGGTTTTTTTGTTTTTATGTGTGCTCACCTGTCCTATGTGTCGGTGTGGGGAAGCATGTCCCTGTCTACGTAGTTGCTGGGATTGGCGAATGAGGGAGGAGCCGCCCTCTGATTGGTTGGCCTCCCGCAGGTCCAGCATGCTCTGAGAGAAGCGAGCCATCATGTTGAGTCCGTCTCCGTGGGAAGGCCCTCTTCCTGATCCGGTCTGCCCCCCATTGGTGAGCGCTTCGCCGCCTGCGTCCTGCTGGGAACAGTCATAGAACTCCTCCTCTGATGCTGTGGAAGCGCTCGAGGGTTCGTCGTTGAGCGCTCGGTCGCAGATGACCTTAGTGCTGTCCTGGCTCCCCTCTTCGTTGCTGCCAGAGTCTCCGCTGTCATTCTTCGACGTTAACCGGATACGGTTCCGGGTCTTCTCGGGTTGCTCTTTGTGTAGATTATCCACCTGGTCCATTTTGATCAGAGTGACCTGAGCCTCACCGGGCTGCTCTGATGAGGCGGGGTCTATGACCAACTGCAGCGTGCGGCGTTTGGGAACGGGAGGCGCTGCAGGCGGTGTTTCTTGAGTTTTTCCAGCATTGTCCATAGGCTGTGTATCAGCAGTAACTTTGGGTTGTGTTGTAGACGTTTGTGGTTCATGTTGTGGAGATGTGCTGGGCCTCTCAGTGGGTCCTCTGGAGTCAGTTTGGTCCTTATTTGGAGCACTTTGGGATCCAAGCTTGTTTTCTGCTGGAACTACAGGGGTGGAGTCTTTAGCACTCCCAGTCCCAGGCAGATTGTTTCCTGTTTGAGTGTCTTTTTCACCCTGATTTGCGTTGGATTCCTCAGTCGGTGCTGGTTGAGTCAGTGGTGAGCTGAAGCGTATAGCCTGGCTGACCTCGAACCTTTCCGACCTCTGGAGGTGAACCTGATGGGCTCTCTTTTCATCCCTGATGTTGATGAAGCCGATCACATCACTCGGGGGATCTGGCTCCGGCCAGGTTGGCAGATACGGGATTAAGTTGGCTTTCTCCAGATGGACTAACCCAGGGTGTAGGGGCGACTCCTCAATAACCTCCTTAAGGCGTGCTTTCATCACCTTCAACCCAGCGGGAATCTGGGAGTTTGATTCCTTTTTACTGGAGTTCTGGTCAGAGGGGGTGGGGCTTGTGTGAGCTCCTGTTGTGACAAGTGCGTATTTGGGATTGATGAGCTTTCTGGCGACAGAAGCTGGGACAGGTGCAGGCACTGTCTGAGGCAGCGGGTCGGGGATTGGCTCGTCCTGCAAGGGAACCTTGCTGAGCGACACTCCCCTGGACGTAAGGAAGAGATCCCGAAACTGAATGTCGAAGGTCTCTACTGCCTGCCCAGTTATGACGGTGATGAGGTTCCGGTCCAGTCGGGAAGAGGACCAGGTGAAACTGCAACACCACAGAGATTAAAACATTAGGTCACCGGAGTAGATTAACATTTCATTACCACCTGGGAAAAACCCAAGTAGTAAGCTATTACAGCCATATAACTGCACCAGATGTCTTTTTGCTGAAGTCACACATCTCCAGATGATCTTTGATCAAATCACATAATTGTTAACCCTTCCTGGAGGAATCAGAGTCACAGCAGTGAAGAAGCTAGACAAGCATGCCTCTACAGACAAAGGCGTTCTCTGTTTGCCTGCAGGAAAGTCTGGGTAGTTTATTAAAATTAGCCTCAGCTGATATTAGATGTGCTGCAACATGTAACAAACGACCAGAAAGGATAAACACTGGATATAGAAACCATTACACAATCCGTCCACGGGGTGTAATGTCTCTGAGCTCTTTTAAGTAATTTGAAGAGATTTGCCTTCACATCAGTTTCACAATAACTGATAAACGTTGCTGGTTTTGACTCAGCTGGAAGACAAAAAGAGGATGATGAAATCTACTGAGCCCTTATGAGTCCCAGAAAGAAAGCCTTGTAGTATCCATAGCCCTTACACATTTACTCACTTTGAAACTAACAGTTATATCTGTATGAGAAAAAAACCCCACATAAAATACAGCCTCCCGTTACTTGGACACCAATACATAGATCCTAGGGTCATCAAATATCTTCACAAGTCTCCTGGCTATCAGCAGCATCTCTCTGTGAGTGATCTAATCTTAGTATCAAATCCAGCTTTGCTGTGGAGGCCTCAGAGGTTTGTTGGATAGAATTAGAGAATAAACAGCATCATGAAGGAACATAGCAGACAAGGAGAAGCAGGGTTAGCTTGTTTGTTTTTTATCAGAATATGACTATTATAAACCAACCACAACAAGGGTGGCCACTTAACCCGACAAGCCAAACAAGGACAGCATAAAACAAGGAACTGACCCAGAAAAACATTAACCAAAGTAACTCTGGAGGAGCTGCAGAGATTCACAGCTCAAGTAGTTTGCTAAAAGCAATTTGATAGACAAGGAAAAAATGCTGGTTTTGTGGCCAGGAGGGACCTTCTTAACTGGCAAGTTAAACAGTCTGAAAACCCACAAGTCATCTAAGGCAAGTTCCTGTTGAAGATTCTCAGCCATCCAGGTCATAGTCACTCCAAAACTCCCTCTTCAAAGGGTTTCTGTCCTTTGTGTTGGTTTATTGGATTCTGATCAAATCCAAAGATGTTGGCAACGACATAAATAAATGTAATAATTAAAAGAGGTAGTGAAACTTCTTCAAGGCATTGCATGCTAATAAACAGAAGCAGCATAGCTGTGGCCTGGCTGCCATGAATCAGATTTAAGCGGTGCTGCAACTGTGACGCATTAGCAATCATATTTTAGTATGACCCAGCTCCCCACGAGACACCGAGGATATTATCTGCCTCTGTGGCTGCTACATTCTCCTCTTTGTACATCAGCTAGTTGCTAAGTATTTCTGTCAGTAATTTTCTGCTGAGCAGGATGTGTGTGGTTGATTTATGTGAGCTTCCTCCTGCGGGGGTAAACTCTAAGGCCTGGGTGAGGGATAGAAACTAGACAAAACCAACAAACTGAACATTCGATTTAGAACTGTATAGGGAATGTGTACGTTTTTTAACTCTAGCTTTCTAACACTAGCCTTTGGCTCAATTCAAGGGCCTTACTATTTTTTAGATGAACGTTTTTATAGTTACCTCTGATCCAATGTTCGTGCAATGTGTGTTTAAAAATACAGGAAATAAGATGGTGGAGGACAAAAGAAGAAGTGCAAGCAATAACAATTATTTCTTTTTGACAACAGGGAAGAAAATCCTTTAAAAATCAGACACAGAAATCAGTCATTGTTTTTCAATAATCTTCTACCAAGTTTTCAGTTCATATTTCTATTTGATAATTAGCTAACAGCATAATATTTGCTTGGTTATCCATGCAATTTGTTTTGTACTTTACATTATTTCATCAACAAAGGAAGTTCCTCCAGCTGCTGTCACGCTGCTCTCTCTAACTTATTGTGCCTTGCGTGTGTTTAAAATGAGGAAAGGGATTTATTTAGTCAAAAATCTGGTGCTGTCCCATCTGTGAAGTATGCACGCTGCTTTTGATGTTCCTATAGTGTATAGAGAATGTGTATTAGGATGGAGGGCATTTTCCAAACATAATTTTGTCAAAGTTGCACCCCCCAAAACTCCATATTATACCCAATAAAATTACATTTCTATCCATTTACAAAGTATCTTACATGGAGGATTGATTTATTTTCATTTGCCAGGGAAATATTAGCAATTCCTACTGAAAGCAGCCACCCATCCTGCCCATATACAAAGCATTCACTTGTTGCTGTACTTTTGACACAGTCACCAGTGCCAGTGGTTGTACTTTGAAAGCATGATCATGAGCCTTTAAAAGCAAGCTGACAATTGTCTATTGATGGTTGTTTTCTACATTACTTCAAATCTAATAAAAGACGACATTTAGCAGTACATGACTGTTGAAAAAGTTGCTTTGGGCCCAAAAATGACTTTAGATTTTACATTATACCTAAAAGCAATTCAATTTTTTCTATTGTTGTCATAATACCGACCTGCTCTACCTAAACTGACTATGATTCAACAGAAAAAGAAGCTGTTGGTAGACCCAAACTTACACCATTGGTCCACCCAACTGAAACATTAGGTAGATAATAATCTGAGAGAGGTATAATCGGGGGTATGTGCATAATTCTTTGGTTCTTTGGTGAGGTGTCTTAAAGTGATCAGAGACAGAAGCCAGGATCTATAGAAAAACTGAAAACTTTGCAAGGCACTAAAAAACTAAAAGACAGTCAGTTAGATGTTAGTGACCAAGCACTGAATTATTAGCGCTCACCTGTATGAACCAGAGATGGCTCTGTCTCCATCTACAAGGAGGAACTTCTCACTCAAGGATCCTCGCACCCTCTGTGCTGATCGCGTGAAAAATTCCAACCCTCCGCAGCAGCGCACACGCAGATTCTACACAAACACACACAAAGAGTGTTAGCACTGTAAAACTCCACAGGGTTTGGCATTGAGGGCAGACAGGACTTCAATGCACAAAGGGGAAAATAATGGCAACAACAGACTGGAGGGCCTTAAGAGAAAGCCTTTCCTTGTTGCTTAAGAGTTGGTGCTCAGCATTAATAATCTCTGCATGATGTTGAGTGACTTTGCAGGTTAGAGCTTGGACTCTCATGCTTCATTGACACACCCTGTGGTGTTTGTCTTCAGCTCTGTGATAAGGGTGTGGTTCCTGGCTGAGCGATAGATCTGTGCAAAATCTCACAGGAGCAGCTACAGAAAGGAGCCATAAACACTGAGGACAGTAAATGGGGACAGATAAGAGAAAAGAAAAATGAAAAAAAAAAGAAGCTAAACGGGGCGAATACCTTAGAGAGGAAGGTGGGGAACTGAAAGAGAAACAGTGACAGCGAAGGGAGTGTTGGTGGCTTATTTAATTGCCTGCAGCACAGGCGGGAAAATGTTCAGCATCTTTCTGGCCTCCAGTCTAAAAAACTCCTTTATAAAATTCCTGTGAAACACTAAGCATTTTCTGTTAGTGGCTTAACCAGTTTACCTCAGAGGCAGAAAAATAACAGTAATGTTCAATGTTGAACAACTGGCTGGAACAAGGGAGACGCCTAAAGGCAAGAACCAGCAAGACTAAATCAATAAAGCCATCTAATCCAGTTCTACATCAAAAACTCTGATCTTATTGATAAACACTGTTTTTCTAAAGAATATTTCTCTAAAAGAACAAACCTGTTTTAAAAAAAAACATTTTCATGAGATTATCATCTACTCCCTGCTTCTTATCAAAATCCCATCCATGTGCGGGTGTGTGCATACAAACCTTTAGGTGCCCTCTGTGCATATCAGCTCTTCCACACATGGAAAGAAAGCAGGGCACTGCAGCTATATCCAGAATTATGTACACAGGGATTCTGCGTTTATAGGATGCGTCCAGAAGGTCTCGAAAGATATCCACATCTGTAAACACGTCCATCACCACAGCAATCACCTGCACATACACACACACACAAAAAAAGAAAATAAATAACATAAAACACACACAGGAAGGCAGAGCTTGTGTTAATGTTTCCTGGTCTAAGGGTGGGTTCACATTATTCTACTGTTATCAACAATATTAAACTCATTAAATGGACAGAGGAAGCCTGGCACTTTAGGGGAAGGAACAATAAATTAGGAAGGAATGAATTCCAGTCCAGAAAGTACAAGTTTCATCAAGTGACTGTTAGAGACAAAGAATGTTTTGCAGAGAGGCGATAAAATGCAGCTAGACGGGTGACTCTGTGTTCCTCTGCTGCAAAGTAGCGCCAGAGACATAGCAGTCCTGCTGACTTAACCAAAAGGGCACAACTGGAAAACAAGATGATCACGATTTAAATTAATATCCAAACATCTGCCAACAATACTGAAAAGCAGCTCTCAGATTATTTGGAAAACCAATCAGAGTCTACTAATCCATATAATTATGTCTGTGATTTTCAAATAAGGTCTAATTAATCTTTAGTGTAATACTAAACCGTCATATGAGACTTATGAGTAAGAAAGGTAAAAGTTTTGTTCGTCTAGCAGGCATGTAAACGTGTTTAGTGACGCAAGTGCATTTCTTTCCTCTGACACCTCAAGCTCAGACCTGCTTCTATAAAACTTTGATGTAGGCGTGTGGGAGGGCGGCACATGGTTGGGAAGCAAATGTATGAAAAGGAAAGCTGCTGCAAACAGAACATGGAAAGAACATTAGGCTTGAGTTGAATTTTAGACAATAGACTGAATAGTCTGAGCTGAGTTTGCCAAGTGAGCATAAAATGATGGCCTCCCCTCTATAAAAGAAGAAGCACTGATAAAATCAAAACCACTAATCCATTGGTATAAAAGTGTAAAATTTACTGTTAGGTAACGTTTATGATACCGGGAAACATCTAACTGTTACAATGTGAAGGTATTTTCATTACCAACTCAGCTTGGTTATCTATATTTCCTCGACCTTCTTATGACCTCAAACTTTTTTTTCCATCCATCATGTGAAAAGGGGGGATTCTAATTCCTGATTCCCAATTTCCCCCATAATGCACATCTGACATCTCTGTATCAGGATTGGCAGGAATAAAAGGAATGCAGCGGTGAAAGCCCATGTGATCTGTATGTCTGTGTTTGTGGTGGCTCTGGCTGCATCCCACCATGCCTTGTCGATTTCTCATAGACTCTCTAATGGGCTTTCATATACATGAGTACTGAAAACATTTATCTGATCAATCCTAAATCATTGATTTGCGAAATAACAGGCAGCTTTTTCAGTAATCAAATAATTGTTACAGACAGATTTGCAGAAACAAATACCAAACAAGAGCAGAAATCAAGCCATAACTGTAAAAATATAAATGCATTTTGCATTCAAGATGAAAACCTGATTTGTCAGTAAACATGCCATTATGAAAAATCTCTTATAAAGCAACATTTGACATCCAATTATTAATCAAAAAAGGATTTAAATACTGACCTATTAGCAACACAATCGTTAGTTGCAGCCCTACTTCACAATCGCAAGGCTGTGATTATTGTTTTTGACTGTATACTTGTCCAACATGTTTTCTTCCTTCCACTAAACTTTCTGTTAATAAGCATAGCTGTAGCCTTTGTGAATGCCAGCCTCTTTAATGATTTTAATTTTCTATTTCTATACTTCAAAAGGATGCAAATGACTGTCTACAACATAGTTTTTAATTGATATTTCTTCCATCTTAGCACAACCCTTATCTATAAATGTTATTAAAGTTTTTTTATGAATAGGCACTTAGGCACATGGACAAAGGAATGGTGAGATCAACCAAACATTTTATATGAGTTTCTATTAGAAACCTCCACCAGCACCATACTCCTCACCTTCTGAGCTCCAGCAATGCTCTTCCGAACCACCTCTTTGATGTGCGTGTGACCCTCTGTGGGAGGCTGCGTGTACACGGTCACGCGCGTCACCCCTCTGTATGAGATGGAGTCAGGCCACCCGAGGTCCAGCTCCGCCACCGAGGCCTCGGACCGGTCCGGCCAGTAGGCGAGCGACACCTCTCCGTCCTCTCCTTCTTCTCCGGACCCAGGAGTCAAGTTCCCCGCCCCGGGTGTCCCCGGCCTCGGGTGGTGTTCGTGGCCCGGTCTGTACGCCTCGGCGATGCGCGTGACTCTCTCCAGTTCCGTTTCAGAGAGGAACCCCCGAATTTCGTGCTTCTGGATGTAGTCCGTGAACGCATCGCGGCCCTTGGTGATGAGTGCTTCGAGGGCCAGCCGTTGGTCCTCGCTGTAGAAAAACTCCGGCTTGCTCTCGCTAATGCGCCAGTTGACGTGGTGGTCGTCCAGACACTGGACCTGAGACAAAGCCATAATCTCCAACTTTCAATAAAAAATAAGTTAAGCACTAAAATCAGTCTGAGACAGTTTTCTGTCGTCCAAAAGGGTCAAGCCTATACGGTCATTACGGTAATCAGACTTTGGGTTACCCATTTAGTAGAATTTCCATAAGCTAAAAGCAGCTATCAGCGATCCAACAGACTCGGGTAACTGGATCCCTTATTCAGGTGTAGTCTGAACAAAGCTCCCTCCGCCCAGAGCCACGCCTTTCACCTGACGGAGGCTCCCGGCCGGCGGCCCCGCAGCCTCAGGGCTCGGCAGATGTCCCGGCGGCGGATGAATGTTTCTGCCTGCGTGAGTCAACAATAAGCGGAACACGCAGCTCAGACTCAGACAGACGTTATCAACCCCCGTTAAATGTCCTGAAACTGCGTGAGTCAGTCCAACTGTTGCGCTGACGAGTCACTTTTCCTCCAGTTTGTCGCAGCAGCTCAGAGGTTTCCAGATGTTCAGGCAGCTGTTGGAGCAAAGTTTGCGCTTCATGAACGTGGCACGAATCTGACTGTATCCGGGTTCACGCCGCTGTTCTTGTGTTCACGACTTCCTCTAAAACAACGTTCAAACTTCTTTTAAATCCAGAGGGACAGGCGGAGAGTCTAATCACTGAGTCCGGGAACGGAAGCTCAGTGACCGGGGGCAGAAAGGCGGGGTGTCCGGGAGTTGGTGTGGAAACAGAGGCTTTAAACCCCACCCCAGACCGGACAGAGAAAAAAAAAACTTTTTTTTTCTTACCCAAATCATTGCCGTTATGAAAGACTGTAATAACTAAGCCACAATGCGGCGTTAATTAATATGCCTCGGCAATAATAATCTAGACATCTGGGCCAGCTGGCGACAAGTAATGAAAAAGTTTAGATTCATCCTGAAAGAAAATATGCTGAGTCATGATAATAGAGTGATAAAATGTTGTGGAAAAATTATCAAATGCTAAGATTAGACTATAAAAGTAAACATAGGACTAAGTTATAATAAAATATTTTTTTTTGTACTTAAAGGTATAGGGGAGGATGTTCTTTTTCTGGGTGGATCATCAAAATAAGTGGTCATCCTACTTGTCAATCATTCTGCTGATATATTTACGTAAAGCCCAGGCTTGGAATCAGGAATGATTTTCAGCCCTGGCATTTTTCCACCTGCACCAGCCCACCCGAAAGAAAAATAGTCAAACGCATGCATCTCAAATGTGAAACACAATACGAATACACATTGTAGAATAACCATCTATCTTCAGCATCACATGACAACCATCACCAAGACTTCTATAATGCAGTTTTACTGACTTCTGTTATTAACACCGACGTGACAGTGAATGCTGCTGCGTAACGTCCACACTTGCACAAAGCCAGCCAGACACCCACTCACACAACACAGTGTCGTCACTGACCCACTGTCACAATGGGGGTGGAGGTCCGACAGGACCCAAATGCAGACACAAAAGCTTAAGATTGTTACTTGAAGGTTTAATTAACCAAAAGTTCAACAGAAGCAACAATCCAAAACATGAATCCACAAAAATGCTGAAAACCAGGAATACTCACTACAAGAAGGGGACAAATAAATGACGACAATCCAGCCAAGAGTGACTGAACAGCAGGAGAATACATGGGAGAGAGAAACAAAGACC